TTCGCTGCGTCTGACGCCCTCTTCTGCGCCAAATTCGTCCATCTCTTGCATTGTCTCCAAACCCCAAACTTTTCGACACTTATCTGTTATGATAGGGTTTGTCCGCATTTAGTCGTATTTGCAATTCAATTGTCTTCATATCGATTGTAATATTTGATAGATTTTTGGTGACATCTCTTATACGATGTGTTCGTGCACTGAGAATGAGGCCAACCATTACGGGCGCTTCCTTTGCTCACTCCTCGAGACTGTCATGAATTGGCATAAAGACAAAGAAGTGTTCAACAAAGAGTGCGCTAAATATCCGGGATTTGTGACCAAATTCTGTGAGAAGGATCCGGTTCACGTGGATTTCGAGAACTATCGTCACGTTTGCCACAAATGGCACTACAGACTAACCAAAGCATTCATATTATGTCTCGATTCTGGAGATTACATACAAATAAGAAATTCGCTCATTATTCTGACGAAAGTGTTGCCGCAGTTTCCAGTTATGCTTAGCTTCGCGCAGGCGATTGAACGCCGCGTCGACAACATCCGCAACGAGGAGAAGGAGAAACGGCCCGATCTGTACGCACTCGCCACTGGGTATGCCTTCACTTCTATGCCTTCAATGTTTAAGATTACAGTATAATTAAGATATTATTATTGATTTAATGCCTCATATCATAGATATTCGGGTCAATTGAAGGCTCGTAAGTCTAATTTCATACCGGAATCGGAGTTTCATATCAAAGAGAATAAGAAACAAATGACTGTTCAAAATAACGCTCAAAAAGTGGAGATTAATAACAATGCGATTAAAAAGGAAAAAATCGAAACCATTGTTAATAACGTGGAAAAAGATGTCTCGAAGTCGAAGAATGGCATCGACTCTAAGGAGACAAATGAGAAGAAAAAGGAAATTAAAAAAGAAAACCCAAAAGAGGCGAAGAATAGGAAAACGGTTACGAATGAAGACAAACTGAACAATAATGTGGAGAAAAACAATCGAAATGAATCGCGTTCTTCTTCGGTCTCATCGCTATCTCCCCGAAGAACTACTGAACACCGAAACAAAGACGATGTCAACGAATCAGACAAAGAACACAAGAAGAGGAAAAGTGATTCAATTAAAGTAATTATTTGTTTGTGTTTTACCGTAGTTTGAAATTTATATTAATTTTTCAAACATTTTGAAGACACACGAAGAGAATAGCGATAAGAAACTGAAAGAAGAGGTCAATAATAACGGCATTAGTAGTGTTAACACTAATACAAGATCTCACGAGAAAAAGCAGTCATCGAGTGCCAGGAAAAGACAACAACAGGTAATAAATAACAAACATTTAAATAAATTTGTATGAATACTAAATGCCATACAATTTGTTTGGTTTGCATTTATAGCTCAAAGAGTCGCCCAATAATGAGGTCTCTTCTGAAGTGAATTCAACGCCTAAAAGACGCAAAGAGGACGACGCGAGTAAAAGTAAACGGGAGGACAGGGAGTCCAGAAGTAAAGTGAGTTCGGAATACAATGATCATTGATATGAGATTGTAATGCATGTTGTCTTCAGACGACAGAAAAACGAAGTAATTCTTCGCGACGACACAAACAAGAGGACGACAAATGATAGCATTATTTTGAATGATATACTTTCATCACTTATTTATTCATTTTTCCACATAAAATACAATTTAAATCATTTCTGTTTTACGTTTTTTTGTTTTATCCGTTTCTTCGGAAGCGGATCTTTTGGAAGCGAATTGTTTGTTAAGCCATTGGCTCTCATTTTGTTGACATTCATTAG